ATTTACAAGAGCATGTAGTGACAGGACCAAGGGGAATGGCTTCAAACTGACAGTAGGTTTAGATTAGATGTTAAGAAGAAATTCTTTACTGTGAGGATGGCGAGGCAGTGCAGCAGGTTGCCCAGGGCACCTGTGGATGCCCCGTCCCTGGAAGTGTTCAAGGCCAGATTAGATTGGGACTAGTGGAAGCTGTCCCTACCTATGGCAGGGTGGTTGGAACTGGATGATTTTTAGGGTCCCTTGCAACCCAAACCATTACATGTTTCTGTGATTCTGAAAATCTGTAGGCTCCTATTCGATTCCCTCCAGCCTTCTCTTCACCAGACTAAAGAATCCTTTCATTAAAGGATTTATCCTGCTGGACTTTCACTCTCCTATCAACCTTCCACTGGATATTCTCCAGTTTCTCCAAGAACAAACAACTGGGAAAGCCTGAGATCCCCACCAATGGAGCAAGGCCAGGACTTCTAGGTTTCTCAGGATATGGAGCTGAAAGACTCAGGCTTCTCACCACAGTGCTGAAAGCCTATGCTGACACCCCATCTCTCATCCCCAAATGTTTACTTGGGATTCAGGAGTCTGTAGCAGGTAGCCAGATGTACCAAGAGGTACTTAGGCAGTTGCACACAGGAGGCAACCTGGGGACATTGAAACAGAACTTTCTTTTTCACTGGGCGTTTATGTTTTGACACCTTGATGTTCTTCAGTTCCAGTAAAACTTCTGAAATCATATGGGTTACTTCAGGAGAAGGGTGTTGGCTGGAGGAAGGGACTTTTGAGGGGGCTTAACCCATGCACATGCTCTGAATTGCTCAGTTGCATTGCCTCACAAAGCAGAAATGGAAAAAACCAGAGAACAGACTGACCTGAATTCAAAGAAGCTGAAAACAAGCCCAGTTGTTGAAAGACTGCGACACAGAAACCTCACAATGGGATCTCTGAGGAAGGAGACCTTGAGAAAGAGACATGGGCATACTGACTTGCTGTCCATAACAATCTCTTGGGTATCAGTAGATCCATTACATGTTGTTGAGATCTCAAACTGCCAAATGTAGGAAAAATATTTTCAGTTCTATTTGACGGTTTTGCAATGTCAAGAAAATTCTCTCACCCTTCTGAGTCCTAAGAGAGCTGCTGTGGGGAAACAGCTGAGCTGCTTTCAAAGTCTGTACTCTCCCTGGATTTATGCATTCAGTGACCTTGGCAGACATACAGAAGAAACCCTTTACCATAGCAATGGATTGTTTTTCTTTCCAGATTAGGCACAAAAAATTTTTTCTCATCAGATATACAGATTTTGAAATTACAATTTTTTCCTCCCTCTTCAATAAAAGGATTTTTAAGTGCAGAGAAAAACCACGTACTCCAGTTGTATGGTTTCTCTTGCCCTCCTACAGCATCTCAAGATAGTAGATAAAAATACTCTGTTTGAATCCTCTTTTTTGAGTCCAGCATTTAAATTGCAATTGAAGTTACTATCTACATTGGCAATTTTAGCTCTGTCATGACTGAAACCAATTCTTATTATCTAGACATATGAAGATGTGGTGTGTTTTCCTTCATCTGAGAATACGCAGGAATAATGTTGAGACACAGATGAAGAGAATTTGGAGGATTCCCAACTCCAACAGAGTATTTGCTGTGGAATAGCAGAAACCTGGAACAGGTTTCCTATCCCACCCCTCTGCCCCCCAGTCAGGACTGCTGGATTTGGTAATGACTGGGATTCATGAGAGGAAAATGAAAGAACCTATCCATGACTGATATTCCACGCCAACAGGGCAATGCTGAAGGTGGAGAGAAGGCATTTTCCTTCTGACCTTGGAAAAGAGCAGCTTAAGGAAAGAAGTTACTGTTATGGGATCCAACAAATGCTGTAGTTAATTGTAAAAATCTGTAGTTAATTGGAAAAAGAAGGTAATACTGAATGTGAAGGCTACAGTAAAGGCTATAGTGCAATCAAGAGACCCCAGCCAGTTCTATTATTGATATTAAACAGATTTTTTTTAATGAAATGTCTGGACATTTACATACTGTAGAAGCTTTTCTTATAAAATGCAAATCTTTTTCAAAGTTTCTTGACCTTCATTCTAGCCCAGTGGCTCCCCACATTTCTAATTAGAATTATTCTTTCTTGCTGGGAAGCTGCCTGCAGGATGTACTCCTACAAGCATAGCAAGAGCCATCTCTGGGTACAATGAGTTCTTTCCCTAGAAACTTCCTCCCTCGAGTTATTCTAAAAATCCTTGCAGGCTTAGCCTTCAGTTACACAGAAAGATAGAGAAATGCTCACATTTTCAAAGGAACACTCGTGTGTCTTACTCTTATCATGATATGAGTTAAAGCCAGCAGGTTACAAAATGTCTCAATTTGGGACAAGCTGTTATGGTAATAGTCTGTATATATGTATTCCAGAAAGCATTGCAGTTAGTGTTAGTAATGAAAATACTTGATGAAGTCTTTAGATTAGAAATTAGGTGTCTTTGCTAAATTGTCTGGTCTGTGCTCATAGCCCTGAAAATTATATAATTCCTTCTGTATAATCCTAAAACTGTGATTACTGCAAGTTCTTCAGTTGTAAAACAAAATATGTACATTACACAGTTTTTACAGTTTTTACTTTTAGTCTGCGTGCATGGCTCTTTATAGACAGTGGCATCAGCAGCCACTCTAAAAAGGTTTATTCACAGAAACACATGACTGATACCAAATATTTGCCCAGTTCTAAAAGATTTCCTTATTTACCTTTTTGTTAAATAGTGCTAATGTGATTTTCATTAGCCCCTCTTGAAAAGCTAATCAGCACAATTTACCTGAGCACACATCACACCCAGGGGCTGCTCAGTAGATCATTGACAAAAAGAAGTTCCAGGGCTGCCATTATGACAGCACACATTTGCAGGGAAGGTGTAGTGTAATGCACAAACGGGCCAAAGCCTTTTGAATCGAGGTACAGCTCTTCTGGCTCAGCTGCTCAGTGGTTTATCTTCAGAAGGGGCTGCCCTTCCTTGCAAACAGTGTGGCAACATGAAGGCAGAATGGGAACAGCCATGTTTCCCCCAGAGATAAGCATCAGCAGTCTCCAGCTGTTCAGGGGTGCAGTTCTCATGAGTGCAGCCCACTGTTTGTGTTCCAAGTCTGGCTCCCCCTTTTACCCTGACCTGGCTGTTGTCATGTGGGAGAAGGAAAGCAGGTCGTGCTGCCAGCAGCTTCCCCCACCATCCTATCCCTGGACAGGCTCCAGGGGCTTCACACACACCACCATGCCAGCTGGGCTGGCCAGGCTCCAGCTGTGGCTGTTTCTCTGCCTTTCTTCATGTCTGGTGTATTCTCACAAGAATTTCTGGCAAGCAAGAGGCACAGAGGGTCTAAATTCATCACAGAAGTTGTTTGCAGAGAGCAGCTTGGAGATCTACATCTTCCCATGCAACTCAGGTGCTGAGAAGAAATACAGACCTCTGAGTAAGACCTGGCTTTGGCCATTCTCCATCCTTCTTGTCTGGTATTGCACATTCCTTCCTAAAATGCTATCTGCCCTCCCACAGGGTGGGGAAGAGAGCCACAGCAGTCAGTGCCATGCAAGGATGTGGGCACAGGTGACACAGCTGGGCAGAGACATCCATGCTCACCCAGACATGCTGCTCCCTGAGGCTGTCAGCAGAGCAGGGAGCTGCAGAAAATGGCTCTTGGACACATCTGCAAAAAGAGACTGTCATTTATAAAACTGTCATTTATAAGGAGTGGAGCCTTAGTGAGAGGAGGGGGACATTCAGCTCACACCAACCTTCCCCGGGAAAGTAATTCACAAGTAAATTTATAATGTAATAGTGCATTTAATGTTTCCTGTCTTGACTGGGCATAAAAAAGAATAAATGCAAGATAGAAGAAGGTGTGTATTTTGTCTGTCAGGCCTTCACTTTACAAGCCATATACTGGTCTAAGGCAGCCACTCTTCAATTTCAACTCAGAATTCAATTGATAAGAAGCAACCTTTTAAAACCTAGTCTTCTGCAGAGGCATGTTTTACCTTAGGAAAAATATTCTGTAGTGTCTTTAAGCCATCTGCAGGCAGACAAGGAAGCAAGATGAAGGATTTCTCCCTGAAGTGAGAGCTCTGCTCAGACCTTGCAGTGGGAGTGAGACTTCTGAGCTTGCAGAGATACACCAAACTCCACCTCCATTTAGAACCCCAACAAAATATCCTCCCAATGAAAATCTCTTAGACATTATACAGATGTGACTCTGCTAAATCTTCTAAGCACTCATGCAGTTCTCTCATCCTCTGAAACCTCAACAAATTACTACCTCAGCCTCTTCCAGGTGAAACATGGTCCTCCCCATTTCAGACACAAAGCACAGAGACCATGAGTGGCTCCACATCCACGAAATAATCTCTGTCACACACAGAGATTATTAGACTTTGAACCCAAACTGAAGGTGTCCCCGGTGAAAATCTCTCCCTAGAACAACATACTAGTGAAACAGTGCCTATGGACACATCCTGAAGCTGGATGCTGTGCTATTTAGTGCTGTTAATTGCTCACAGGGATGGCAAGGACTGCTGCAAGTGAGCAAAATACTCTCCTGGGACTCAGAATAACCAGACTAGCACTAATATTTTCTACACTAGAGTAAGGGACCCTGAGGTAAAACCCATTAAAAACTTGGGAAAAGGGAAAACAAAGACCTGGGAAGAGCCCTTTGCATTCATACCAAATATCATGAAGGTGTTTCAAATTCTTGGGGTTTATATATGCTGAGGAAACTTTGCGGTTTTTACTCTCTTTTCCTCTTTAGTAGAAGCCCAATGTAAAAATATACATGAGAGATTAAAAAGATCTCACCTTACATTTTTTTTCACGTATCTGTACTAGGTCTTGACTAACTTAAGCTGTCTCTTAACAAGTATCTTAGCTCCAGCTGATCAGAGGCTCTCTGTGACTCAGTGGGCTGGCAGAGCAGTGCTCTTCCTTAAGAACAAAAACTTTTGACAGCTGGGTGCTGGCTTTTGTGTGAAGCCTTTCAAGCAGGTTTACAGCTGTGCCATGGCACTCCTGCTCTGAGAGGTTTATGCTCATTTGACAGCAATCTGGTAGGTTTGGTGCCTGTGCTCAAGGCTGACCTCTCCTTGTTTAAGTTAAAACACATGCTGGCATGGATGGAGGGTCCATAGCCAATTGGACCACATGTTTGTTTTTTTTGGAAATAAGGCTGTCTACCTCTCCTAAACAACCTTTTGGAAAAGAAGAACTTATCTGTCCTCAGCTCTGGTGTCTTAAGTCCTCAATGGTCTCCATCCCACTTTCTTCACAATCACTGGTGTCGAGTAAAAGGTGCTTGAAGGAGCATAGTTCAGCTTCTCTGCTTTCCAGTCTTTGGAAATCCTACTTTTGTTTTCTAGGACATAGTTGTTAATCAGTCTAGTTGTGAAAGGATGTGAGGATTAATTTAGATGTGTTCTCTTTCACATACCAAAAAGCAAAGTTGTGGGGATTTTGTTATTTCACAGTTAGTTTCCCAGACAAAATTATGATTGAAATCTTTTGGGCTTATTACAGTTATGATAATAATGTAGTGTATTTCTTTAAAGAAAGAATTCTTTTAAACAAATATCTTTCTGCCAACACTGTAATTCTAGAAATGGTACACTGCTATTAATCTTATCCTCATTCTACCAAGCTTTGGTTAATTGAGCCTTCTTTGCTTTAGAAAAAGGCTTTCCTTTGATGTGTCACTATCCCTGGAGGTATTTAGATGCGTAGTTATGGCACTTAGGGACATGATTTAGTGGTGACTTGGCAGTGCTTGTCTTATGGTTGGACTCAAGGATTTTAGAGGTCTTTTCCAACATGAATTATTGTACGATTTCATGGCTCTTATGATGCTGCTTCATTTCAGCTGCCACATTGTGTGAGCTGCAGTGACCTGAATATACCTAATTCCCAGGGTAAGCCAGCAGGTTTTCTCAGTGTATTTCTTCTAGCTCTTTTCCTTCCAAGACAGCTTAGAAGTCTAACCACAGACAAGGCAGGAGTAAGAAGTGGATAAAGGGACTGGAAGAGGACAGAGCTGAGTTGGCATTGCCTTGTGGCAGGGCTCAGAGGGGCAGAAGGGCAGAGCACTGCAGTCTCTCCATCCATCTTCTACCTTGGTGCCTTCACAGCAGTTTTGAGAAACTATCCTGGAGGAGGTCAGAAAGTTTCTGCAGTAGGAAGAAGTGAAAATATTATGAATTTTGCTTCAGTAAGATGTACTTTCTTTCTCTATCTCTCCCTTTTTTTTCTTAATGTAATCTGTTGCCTAAATATTTCTGTGCCTTTGTCTCCAGTTTCTATTCTTCTCTTATTTGAAGGCAGCAGTTTTGCTCAAGAGATTCATAACAATAGAAAATAGAAGAAATCTCATTGATATTTTAGACAACAAAGGAAAAACTGAACAAGAAGGTAATTAAAGTAAAATCATGAAAGCTCTTCATTCTACAAGGTAAAAAAAGCGTCTCTCTAAATCCCAGTTTAATTTTTCTTGTCGTGTTGACTATCCACCTCCAATGAACAGACAAAATGTTCTAGTGTATCTCCCTTTATGTACATATTTTAAATTCTTTTTCTTGTACTTCTATTACAAAAGGTTGAGAAGCTGGAAGTGGTTATGCACACAAAGGAAGAGTATTTGCTCTGCAGTCTGATGCTTATTAGGTTTTAAATCTGTTTGAAATAATGAATTGCAATCTACTGTAATTAAATATAAAAAATTGAGTGTTATTAACTAGGCAAACCAAGAACAATTTGCAAAGTTTGTATTTTCTTCCACAGATATTTCCCTGCATATGAGAACTCTGTATGCTAACCCTGAAACACTCTATGTCAATTACAAAAGGCACTTTTCATTTTCACATGGGAGAATTGCATTTTTTAATTCAATGTAACGTTATATTATTTGAAGTTCAGAATTATTGTATGAAAAACTTATGCAAGAATTTTAGCAGTAAGCCCCATATTTCCCTCATTGGAGATATTTTGCTACACACCAGTTCCAGCAGAAAGGTTAATATTTGTGGTATCACTGAATGACTCAAATACACAGAATATACATTGCTTGATAATTTGCCTCTGAAAAGCCACACCACATGCTATTATCTTGACCACTCTGATGCTAAGAAGATTCCTACTTACAGCAAAGATTCCAGCCAGGAGAAAGTAGTTGAATTTATTCCATGTAGCTCAGATTCTCATCCTTAAGAGCTAATTGATTCTGTCCCATATATTCCTTTGAAGGGCAGTTGGTGACAATTACTTAGGGGCAGAAGGTGCTTGTCTTTGGGAGACCTCCATGAACCTAAAGGCTTCTTCAATTTGGAGAAGGACAACATTGCCCAGGATAGGGGTGTGGTAGCAGATGATTACAGAAGCAAAACATCTTTGGTTGCCTGGCATTGTGTACCACATATTTTCTTTTTTTTTTTTTTCCTATCTCTCTGTTGCGAGGAATCTGCTTACTCCAATATATCGCTGAGATGCATGATGTGCCCTGCAGGATCCAGCGAGGTACAAACCCAGGTAAAATTGCTCTTTTCCCTTTTACTCACACTAAAGGCAGCCAGTTTCCCAGCACGCCAGAGGAAATGAAGCAATTCCTAAAAACTCAGTAGCTGCTGGGGTTTTGAAAGAAAAACATTGCGTAGAAAAAGTTTCCTTCCAGGCTTTGAGGGGAGAGAGAGAGCAAAGAATGGCTGCAGTGTACAATGAGGATTTGCCTTCAGCAGCATCCAGATGCCAGTGTTTCACCAGAAGTGCAAACTTTTCCTGCACCTTGAGTCGAGCCCAAGCCTAATTGTAAAGTAGATATTTTTATCAGACATGTGACAGAGTGCCCTGCAAAAGTAAGGAGGCTGCACAGCCTCCACCTTGCTCGGAGAGCAGCACCAGCTGTACTCTGCCTAGCTGTGTGCAGAATGATGTCCTTTACTCCCCACCAAGGAGGGTTTTCACAGGATTTCCTCCCCTCGTTAGTTTTAATTCTGTGACATGGATTAGGAGTAAAGCTGAAGCTCTGCAATCCCTTTAGCCCATTACCTCCCAGCTTCTCAAGACCCAGTGTCAGTAAAAGATAGATGGGTTCAAGTTTATGTCTTCAGCTCCCTGTCCTCCTAAGTGCAGGGGAGTGTTTGCATGGGTTTTGTGTATCTATCCTTAACCAAACCTCAGTGTTCAACCTGGTTAATCCTCATGACTTCTCTGTGCACACATAATCTAAACGGCTTTCTTTCCCAATATTTTACTTTCTTATTTTCTGTTTGTATAACTCCTGTGAGGTTTGCAGCCTGCATCTAGTTTCCTCAGGGAGGTGGCAAAATCACAGCAAATCAGGCTCTTTGCTCTAAAATTTCCCAAAGATCAAAGTTTAGTTATCATTAGAATGTAAATGTCACAATATTATGGAACTGGTGCATCAGGAAAGAACATATCTTCCTCTTTGAAAGTGTTTCTATGTGATGTGACATTTTGGTAACATTTGAGGTAGGTCTTTTTTTCTCTTTAATGATCTATTCATTTATTTTTTTAGGACATTATAAGTATGCTGCTTCCACCTGGTAAAATAACATTTAAAATATAGTATTTCACAAAATCTTTTTCGATTTCAAACTGGCTCCAACATCCAGCTTATTGTTTTATTGAATGAATTTTTCAGGGCTAGATAAATTCAAATGAATTCATAAATATTAAGAAAGAAGAACTCCTCTTCATAAATATACTCAAATTATCAATATACCACACAAGAAAGGGGTTGCTGGGTGTTTGGGAACAGGGCACCCACTTGAAAAAATATTGATGAAGAAACAGAAAACGTGAGATGATAACATGCTACATCTCACATTGGAGGTGCTCTATGCCAGTCAGGATCTAAGCATCTCACAAAAGCAGCCATTAAATTCAATAAACTAATGGGACAGAGATTTCCAAAGATGTGCTGCATAATGCAATAATACACATGTATCTGTTGGAACTGTGTCATGATTATATGAGGAAATGTTGATACATTGAGTCATTACTTTATGCCAGCCGCACAAAAATATTCATCCCCACACTAGCCAGCTTTAATAAATTATTGGTGATGTTAATCAGTTCAGCCTGAAATCAGTATTTATTATTACTATTATTTTATCTCGGGCCCTGGAGGTGCTGGGCTGCAGATGGACATCTCACCTGCCAGTCCCTTCAGGGTGCCATGGGTCACCCTCCAGAGCACAGCCAGATATCTCTCACCTGGCCTGGGCCTCAGGTGTGCAGGGGGAGGGGGAACCAGCTCCTAACTACTTTCTAGTGCAATAAGTTCAAGTTAATAATTGCTAACTAGTGGATTTCTCCAGTCATAATAAATATGAAAGTAAAAATGGAGAAAGTGCAAGTGATTTGGTTGAGAGATGATTTTCTTTTTTCCATAAACATTAAAAACCATTTCTATTTTGAATAATACCTTTTTGAAGATCAAAACTTGCAGCTGCTGAATCTTGGCCTGGAAGTGGAGCTGGCTCTGAAGGATCCTAATTGAAGACAAAACTCCTGAAGACCAATGGCACATTTTGGTTTTTTAACTGTGTCACTCACAGACTCCTCCAAGTCAGGAGAAATTCTGTAGCTGTTTTAGTACAAAAATCTTTAATGGAAGTGGTAATAGCTTTTAAAAGAAATTTATAAGAGTGTGGATCGTGTAAAGAAGAAAACAAATCCAGACTATATTTATTTGCACATTTCAGCTTGGACATCTTAAGGAATACTTGCACTCTTAACTGGCTTAGGTGTTTGGTTGTTTGTTTTGTGGTTTTATCATTTTAGTGCAGCCAGAATTATACCCTGTAACAACTCTGATAAGACTTGGAAAGGAAATATATATTCAAAGAGTTTTAACTTGGCTTGTTTCATTTTCCCTGTTTGAAAATAGCATTTTTCAGATTATGCTTATATTTCTAGGGGTTTTTCCCCCTCTCTAGATAAACACAATCAGCTTACACCATCATATCATTGTTAGTGTGCAGCAGGCTACTTAAGTAAATTCTGATTTTCAGCCTCCGTTGTTACAAACCCATTTTTGTTTTAATATGACTAAATTGGTGTGGAAAGATAGTAATATTGCGTCTTATTTACAGCAATGCTGTAAATACATTGTGTATGGAAAACCTAAGTGATAAAGAGCTTAATTAACTGTGATTTATATGGATCTATATGATCATGAAATCACCAGAGTTTGCAGAAACCTAATTTGTTTTTTAATAAGTGTTGCCTGAAAGACTAGTAATTACAGTCATAAACCAATTACTGAACTAAAGCAGAGTAAATTTGAAAACAAAAGCGGTCACAAAATATTTCATTAGGGATCCGACTAAGTTAAAACAAAAGCTACTTCATGTTTATATGATGCTGGAACTGCAGTAGTACCTGTGACAGGCGAATTTTCAAGCAGTTTCCCGCTCTAGATTTACATTTTTGAGGTTTCCAGAAGTATTTATGCTTTGGCTTAACAGTTGTAAGCATAGTCCCAAAGCTGTCTTGTTGATTTAAGTGGATGCTGTTAATATTATTTCTGTGCTGTGTGTGGGTAAGAAGCCCTGAGTAGACCCAGAAGTTGGCAGGCTGGGGTGAGGCCACAGTGAAGGACTCTGGAGAGCAAACCTGTGGATTAATAGAGCAAAAGTCTCCCTTGGCAAAGCCAACAATTGTTGACTGATATATGAACTAGACTAGCGAGAAGCAAAATCATTATTTTCACTCTTTCAAGTCAAATACAGTTCAGCAGGAATGAGCCAACATGCAGAGGTCAGGCTGTCTGAGAAATGATGGGAGCCCCACCCTGGGCTCCCAACTGGACACTTACACACATGTAGCACGATGTTTCATCTCTCTTCTGCTGAAAATAACTTCCTTTTTTTTTAAATTAACATATTTCTAAGGAACCTGAGAGGAAGCTTCAAATGTGACGTCAAAAGGATAATGAAGACAAAGCTGTAGCCACATTTCCACTGTGGTGACACTTCATGGTGCCTGTTGTAATAATCACTTGCTGGAGGAGACACAAGTCCTTCTGAAAGCTTGTGCTCCAGGCACCACGACACTGGGGCTCCATTTCTGAGGGAATGGAAGAGAAAAGGGAGTCACCAGGAGAAGGTAACTGAACAGAGACTGATGAACACTGCAGCTCTCTTTACGTGATCTCTGAAGACAATATTGAGGGTTACATGTCTGTAATCCTCACAAGTTCCCACAAGGGTGTCAGCAGGGTTCCTCATTAAAATTTGGCAAGGACTTACAACAATAACTCACTGAAAGAGAAAACTATAAAACATTATTAGTAATAGATCATCAATCTTGAGAACTGCAATTGCTTGAGAACTTTGAAGAGGCATTGGCTTTTTTTGAACAGATAGAAGAATTAAGGAAATCTGAAAATGAAGCAAAATTGTTTTGGTTATGCCAGAGCAAGCAAAGAGCTTGATAAATGCTGCACACTCTAACACAGTGAGGTTCCTGCTCAGAGTGATGTCTGGTGAGCTCAACCATCAGCCAACACAAGGCCATGTGAATTGAAGGGACAGTGCACAGCTGGGTACTAAGTTTGGTGTAAATATTCCAGAAAAAAGGGTCCCTAACAGGGGCTGTTCAATGGAATGTGCAGTTGACCCAGGGCAGCTGCTGATGCAGTCGCTCCCCAGCCCCGTTCTGTCACTGGGATCTGGGTCAGCCTTAACACTTGGGGCAATGTGTTGCTTTTTCCTGTTGGTTTGTGAATTGTTTCTTTAACATGGATCATTGCAGCTGAAGTGGGTTAGGGAGAAATGGGGCATGGGGTGTTGTGTTAGCAGGTCTGGTGGCTCTCTGCCTTGTGGATGGTGGGAAGGGGCAAGGCTCTGGTCAGGCAGGGAGGGGTAACTTCAGACAAGGACTGTCAAACTCAGTCATCACTCCAACACGTGCGAAGACTACACAAAGACAAGGGAATATCATGAACACTACATCCTTGGTGCATGCAGGCTTATCTTGGCTGTGCTAGTCACTTCTGCTAGGACACCTTGAAGGTAGGATGAAACTTTCTTCATCTAACAGCTGTTTAGTGTACCCAATGAAAAGTTGAAGGCAGACACACTCACAATCTCTGTGGAGTGAGCAAAGCTGTAGGAGTGGGCTCTTCAACCTTAGCAGCAAATGTACAGCACTACCTTGGGGCTGCTCTTTGAAGCTGGACAAATTCAGAATGCAAAGGAGATTACAATTTATCTAAGCAGGGGTTTATTAACCACTGAAATGATTTAGTAAAAGCTGTTGTGGGTTCTCCATCACTGCCTTTGTTCAAATCAAAATAGGATTTCTCAACTGAAATACTGTGTAATTCGAATGGGAAATAATTCATGCCTGGATATAATTGGTATTAGAGAGAAAGGCAAAACAATTAAAGTGATCTCATCTGGCCTAAAAATTGATGAGTCTGTTTAAAAGGGGGAAAAAAAAACCAAACCAAATGTAACAAAACTGACTCAGGGGGAATTAATTTCTAGAGGCTGCATTTCACAACAGAGTGTATCATCTTTTCACTGGCAAAAATCCATACCTTGGGTGATAGTGCTGCATTTATAAAAAAACCTGTGTAAGGAGACAAGTTACTTTTTAAAAGAAGCCACAGTTGTAATTCTTGGGTGAAATCAGAGCCTCAGTGAGAGAAAGAACAGGAGTTTCATTTCTATAGGAGGTCAGAATTTTATCTGCTTTTCCCCTCCTTTCACAGCCATAAGCGTGCCTCATTCTGGAGGATTTTATAGAAGGATACAGGGGATTTTCTGCTCTGCAAGTTGTGGTATTTCTTTTGGAAATGAAGAAAACCCAGCATACACTGGCTGAGTGGTTGGCTTTGATCTGATGATGTCTTGAAGTCAAGGATTAGACGAACAGAGGAATGTCACTGGTATTTTTCAGCTACAGAGGGTTGCATTTATATCAATGTGGCATCCTTAGAAATAATGATCTGTGTTTTTTGTAGTTTATTGTTAGGAAGATCTCAAAATCAAAGTGGAAATGCAGAGAACATGTCAAGAATCACTGCTAGCAGCCCAGAAATTTAACTACAAATGAAAATGTATATGATGCATTTTAAACACATTGAAAGAAAACAGATTACTTGAAAGAGATAATGGACAAAGTTTCCAAAACAAAGGAAAGACAATAACCCTCTTTAGAGCAAGGTTACCAGGGGAGAAGAAGTTGGAAAAATATTGGGTCCTCAACGCAAAGCCTGTTGCATTTTGATACACTGACACGTTATCTCTGTGCACATACTGAATTGTCAGAGACATTTCACTCATCATCCAAGGACCTCAAAGAAACCTCCTGTTCAAATTCTGACCAGGGCTGAGCGCCAAGCTGAAATGCAGCATTTTGTTTCTCACGTTTTCCTTCTGAGGTGGCACTTTGTTTGAGAAGGCACTCAATCCAATCCCATTTCTCAGTGGTTGCCAACTTGCAGCTGTTTTGCAGTCTGTAACCTAATCTGCATAAAGAAAAATCTGTAGCCTCTGTTTATTTAGTTTTCAGTGGTTTACAATATACATATTTTAGAATATTTGGTACGAGTGCAGACCCTTTTCGTGAACACTCTTGGAAAGCCTCAGAAAAGGAGGTTTTATTCCTACATTTTCCTACAGATAACACATGTCTATGTTTATCAGATTTTTTTTGGAAAGAACTGGAAAAAGGAGGGTCTACAACTGCCATAAATGCCTGCTTCACCTTACAGATGAGCCTGAAACAGCAACTGGCAGATGTGCTGACAAAGGCAACCCTGTCTCAGGGAAGAATTCTCTCCAGAAAAGACTTAGATCTCAAAATTCAATTTTCAAAACATTTTAAAAGCTCACAAAGAGCAGAAAACATCAGCCTTTGTGGTACAGAAGTGTAGGGTCTCAGAGCAGAGGTGACTTGACTACGGGACATATTGATTGTGGTGTCTGTGAATTCTCCAGACCCCAAAGATCCACCCAGTTTAGACATGAGTTGCCAGATGTGAGCTGGTACATCGTGGGACACCAGCTGCTTTGCTGTCCATCACAGTTGTGATGTGATGCTGTGGAAATACCTCCACACCATGCCAAGTGTGTGCTCTGACAGTGCACCTTGAACAATTCGTGGTGGTGCAAGGGCTGCTCATTTTTTTTTTGGAGGAGACCAGTCTTTGGGAAGCAGTGCAAAGAGAACTTGGTAAAGCAGCTGCCATCTTAGAGCAGCTACTCAGACAATAACCAACTCATCTAAAAGGTGGAGCCAGCTCCACTTGTGAGCAGCAGGCTCTGAGCAGAGGGTTGGGACAGCAGTGGGGTGGGCTGAGGGCAGAGCAGGGCCCTTAAAGTCCACACATCCCTGGGAGCAGAGGTTTGCTGCTCTTTCATGGCTCACTTGTCAATCAAATTCTTTGCTAGAAATAAGGCAGAACTGTTTCAACTGAATTATTTGATTTGGAGTTCCTATAACTTGAAGGTGGCTTTTTTATTTCCCCCGTTCCACATAAAATTTTCTCAATGTCAGCTCTATTATGCACTTTTGAAAAATAAGCAGGGCTCAAAATGAGTTATTTCTTGTGGGAAAACGGTCTGTTGGGAACACATTACACATTCCATTTACTAATCAGAATCTTCTGATAATTTTTACTGTGCATTGCAAATGCAGGCAGCCTGCATTACATCTGCAGTGCTCAGATAGACTGGAACTGCTCCAAACTGCTCCTCAAAAATTTATTTTTAAAATTTTCCATGAACTTACTGTTCCTTCATCCTGGTCGCAAATGCATATTTATGCAATGGAGTAACTACATGCATGCAATAGTTTAGCAGAGTTACATGTACCACCACAGTGTTAAAAAATAGACTGTCTCTCAAAGAATGTAGAAACTATTGCCTAAGGAAATAAATGCTTCAACCTGAGGAAGCTGAAAGACTGAAAACATCAGCAAGGAAGATAAATGGCCTTATCTCACAGTAAGAAAAAAGCAACAGGAAAACTAAAATTTTAGTGATATGCTTCATGAAACAGTTTCATATGGCTGGTCATAAATAAAGTGGAGACCCAGGTTGTTGTCAGAAAAATTTCAAGGATAAGCCAAACAGCTTCAGCCTTGGCTTCTGGTTTCACCTCTCAACATCACAATAATAACGTCCAGGAGAAAGGACCTTCAGCTCCTGAGTAGAACTGAGATGTTCAGTTTGCTGATGTGGAAGCATGGGGCTGGGAAAGAAACAGCAGTGGTGAAATGCAGGGCAAAGACAGAGACAAGAAGCATTGCTCTGCAGAAGTATAACTTCCTACACGATGGTGGGAAGGGACACGTGAGCCTGAGTGTGTCATTCCTCCCCACACCTACTAAATCACTGTAGAAATGCTGCTTATTTGCGGCAGCAAAATGTGGTGGCGTGAGGGGCAGGACTGACAACAGTTGCAATTTGTTTTCAGCAGAAGCTCTGAGGGTGCCTGGATTTAGCACCTTGTTCAACGAGGTGGGCAGTTCCTTTCCAAAACCTTTAAAGGCTGCAGCTCCTGCCTCCACTGCTGCAGTGCCTCCCCCAAAGGGAGCGGTTTCTGAAGGGAACTGACTGAGAAAAATGTCCTGGATTCCTGGGCCTTTCCTATTGCTCTCATCTCTGCTGTGCTTCGCTGCTGAGAGTACAAAGACCTCCAGTATTCTTATCTTGGCATTCCCCACTTAGAGGAACGAGAGAAGCATTACAAATGAGTCTGTAGGGATGTATTGTGAAAGCTGTAATAAAACTAAAAAGCCGGCACCGGTGGCCTTGGCCAGTCAGATCCTTTGGGAGCCCTGGGCAGCGAAACTGTTCCACATCCCTGCTCTGAAATGCCTGGCATTTAAACCTGGTGACAAGCTCTGCTCCTGCAGACTGCTCATGAGGAAGATCTTATGGTCAGATTGTCACGGTTAATATTATTTTCAGGTCACATTTCTGTTCTCCCTTCTACTCTCCTGCAGTCCATGTGCTAAAGCCACCTCTCTTCCCTTGCTGTCCCCCCACGCCAGACATGACATGATCAGGATACACTAGCATCAAGGTTGCTCTCAAAATTCCTGCTCTCTTTCCTGCTTTCTCATTTAATGGTTTTAATCTACAGTTTTGGAGCCTTTCAACTTACTGGTAGC